TATATATATATATATATATATATNTATGGTTATGTTAGGGTGTCAATACTATAGAGTATTTTATAATTATACTTAATAAATTTTGCAGACTTATATACTCTTGTTTTGTACATCGAACAATTTTTTTATTAAAGGTATATTTGATTATTAGGAAGAAATGACATCACCCACATGAAACACATAGAATATTTCATACCAGTTAGTCGTAGTGCATCTTTTCACACCAATTGACAATAAATTGATGTGAAAATACTTCCATACTTGACCGCATGAGAGAATTCTTTCATATAAAAATATTTCTAAAAAGCAATTTCACACGAACCAAACATGCAGGGACATCGGGCTAGGAAGAGGATACACCTCGACAAACTCTATCGTCAATCTTTGGAGAAGGTATATCAACCTGGTTCACAAGAACCATAACCCCGGACTCATGCTTTCAATTCACTCAGTAGCATACTCCTGATAAGAATTACAGTGATCACGATGACTTGGGGCCATCTCATCATTTTAGTTGATTTTGTATGTTTCAACTTATTTTACTTGTATTATTGATATTTAATTGATTCTATGGTTATCAATAATGTATATTTGATTAATTCTATAGTTTTGACTAATGTGATCTGCTACATTTTAGACTAACTGTGAAATCTGAATAAGAACCAGGCTCTCGGTGTGTCGCTTCAATAATTTCATCCAATGTTTTAGAACCAGGAATTTGCGATCCGAGCTGCAGATCTGGATTGATAATTGGCCGAAACCAAACCGGTTCAAGAACAGTATTAGTCCCGGGCCTGGTTCCCCTCCTAAAACCCCCTTGCATATTCTTTTTCTTCAAGCCTGTGTTTTAAGGGGACAAATAACCGCCCCCGTGAATTTCTATTTTAATTTTTATTTTCTAATAGTGTGTGGTTCAACAATTTGGATTGATCTAAATCTCCAGTGATCCAACGGATAAAGGAGGTGAATGATCGAACCACCGATCCAGGTCTTTCAAGAATAACTTCAGCAAAAAGTTTTCACAAACCCACAACTTCTAAAATTTTTCAAATTTTTTGAAATTCTTTTATAATCTCAATACAATCAAACTAATCGAACTACTCTAACCTAGTCTAGTTCACCAAGCTAGATCGACTGATCACTAGCTCGGGCCACCGAGCCAATCCTAGTAATGTTTATATAAATCGTAGTTAGCATACCACAATGTATGCTTGATCCTAATGTTACCATCCATTGGCACCAATGGGCTATTCCTGGAACCGCTACAAGACCGTTCATCTAGGAGTGGGAGTGGTTAAATAATAATAGATTATATAATGTGCAATTACAATAAAATAAAGAGTACATCTACCGTATTTGGGTCAGATCAGGGCAGCCTAGACCTGGACCCAACCCCTACTTTTGGACACGGACCTGACCCATTGGGTTAAAAAATAGGACCCAAACCTGGAACCAAGTCGGATTGACCTGACCCATTACCCTACCCCTAAGTTCATCCCACCATAACACAACAATCAGCTACTCCTGAAAATATAGGCAATCCAGTTCAAAAAATCATAGCAGACAATCCAGTTGAAAAAATTCCAGGACTAATTCAGTCCAGAAACATGGTTTTAGGGCTAAAATAGGATCAACCAAGATTTCATCACACCCATTCAAGATAACTAAAATATTAAACACGCATGCCACACTTAGGTGTAAACTGTGCATAGTGAAAGATGCCAATGTCATGTATATCAGTCTGAATACATGTATATTTAAAAATGGACATGGCCATCCAAGGGGCATGTCTTATGTCTCCCCATTTATTATCCTCCAAAGTTCTTTGATTTATAATAATAGCCCAAGGAAAGAATTTTGTGTCAGGATTCACTTCCTGTTCAAAAAAAAGTTCAGAGGATTCAAAGGCTTTTTCACAATCAAAATCACACCAAAATTGGCTCTGTCGCGAAACCGAACCGTCCATCCATAGCAAGAGTAGACTCACGGAAGCGGGGAGAGAAACTGTACAAGTCAATGAGAACCATCCAAACGGTTCTCAAGTTTTTCCCTGCATAGTACTGAAATTGCAATTTGACTTAAAGGCTGCATAGCACTCAATGGCAACTGGCCTTAAAAGGGGCAATGGCGGGTTCCTCTCCTTCCGACTCCACGATGTTTAAATGCTTTTAAACTTTAATTTTTGTGATCAAAGCTTTTGAATTGGTAGAAGGGCAGCAGGGTTCAGCACAAACCCTGCAATAACCTCTCAGTTAGTATGAGACATCAGCAGGGCCATTTTTAACAGGCATGCTCTCACTACAATGCCCCTGATTAGAATCATGGGTCACCTCTAGAGGAGCAGCAGCCTGATGCGAACCAATGGCCACCTCTAAAGAGAGAGTGGCCTGGTCATAATCGTTGGACACTTTAGGGAGAGCAGCCTGATCCATTACTTGTAAAGAGAGAGAGTCAGAAACTGGAGACTTGGCCTTGGAACTCTCATCCAACTCAAGGCTATATATACTTGATGTCAGCAAGTCTTCATTAGATGAGTTCCGAGATTGTGAGGTGATGGGATAGATGCCGCCTTGAGGAGGCAAAAGCCAGTTTCTCCAGTCAACTCGCCTGCGTACTTTGTCTCCCTGCACATGAAGGCATTGTATCTTAAAGTGAAGGATTCTTGAGAGGAAAAAGGGTAAATTTTAAATATTAAAAAATCAATAACCCATTACAAAAGCAAAACATAAGTTTAATACATTGCGCTTGATCTAGTGGATCCTGCAATGAAGGGGCCAAAAGCAATGTATAAAATACCGACATTTACCATAATAACGGCCAGCGGCTGCTACTTTGACATAGCTACAATGTTCATAATGGTTGAAATTCAAATTTGGATAGAGACAAATAAATATATATGAAATAATGCATAATAAAAGTGATAAAGTCCAAGGGCTGCCACTGTCATAACACTCAAAGATTTGTTCTATTTGAAATTTGGCTCAAAATGTGGTCTCAAAATCATCACCTGCACTTCAACAACTGATGAAGTTTGTAATGCATCGATTATTAGATGCATGTTGTTTGTCAACTTCCTAACCTGTAAGACAAACAGCCAGCTGCTTCAATACCCCAAAAGAGAACCTTTCATGTGTGTGTGTGTGTGTGTGAAAGAGAGAGAGTATTCAAAATCGAAAAAGTCGGATGGGGAGAACTACCAAACCAAATAAAGAAAATCATGGCATATCCAAGAATAAATTAGAATCATACAAAGTTTCAGTGCAGGCATGAATACAGATTTAATGGGACTCCAGAGAGCAGTGGCAACAATGATATGAATATCAAACTTAACACATTTCAATTCTCCATGTCAAGATGAGCACATATTCAAGAGCAATATTTTAAAGGACTAATTGTCTGCAATGATCAATATTCATAAACAACTTCACTCAAAATAAGAAAAGCTCATAATTTTTAAGGTAACATCCAACTCAATGTTATACCAAGAAAGTGCTTGAAAAACAAGAGTGATACTTGATAAAGAATACTCCCATACAATTTGTCCACTAGAATATGATTTGATATCTTGTTAGTGTGCTCGAAAGATCAACTCTGACAATCTCCTATCAACAAATTGAGGAACTCATTCATACTAAATTCAAGGGATGGAACATAGTACAATTTCCCTGATATCAGCTTCTCTCACAAAAAAAATTAATCCACCTTGATGCAATTCATCCCTACATTGAAAAAGATATTAACATATCCACATATGAAGGAGTATCTAAACTACATATAGATAATGCTCTAAACTACAATGAGTACTGTGAAGCTCTAAACTACATTAACAAAGCATATTCCGAATACTGTGAACCTCCGAAAATGCTGCAAATAAGTATCTAAAAGGAATATGCCATCATGAGAAGACTTCCTCACCAAACTACAATGATAATTTGTCGCTTTCCATTAGAGAGCATAAAGCTTTCAACCTGTGATATATCTCTTAATTAAAAGCCCTTTAACATCTTCTGAGTATACTCGATTCTCTATTAATGACATCAACAAGATATCGCCCATCTGACAAGATCAGACCATCCTCAAAAACAGAAAAAGATAGGTTCAGCCATTCTTCGGATTTAGGTAAAAGATCAACTTTTGGGGGATATGGGTAAAGATGCTGTGTTAGATACCTTAAGGGTGTTGGATTCTTTCAGCCTTATACGGTAGGATTTAATGATATATAAGCATGTATGTGTCTATATATATGTATATATATATATAGACAGAGAGAGAGTAGGATTCAATGATATATATGTATGTATGTATGTACACATACAACACACAGATGTATCAAAGAACTGACAGGGAATCAAAAGAATCCAACTGTCAGAAAGGAACTCACAAGTATTTGACCATGGTGCAGGTCGGAGATAAAAATCTATGTTACAGAATTCTTCTGTCCGGGAGTCATACCCTTGTCGCACATACTGAAACACATATTAACACATTCTTTTGGATATTGTTCTCTATTAAACCATTTTAGAGACTATCTTTTATGGCTTTAGTGGTGGATACATGTAAACATTGAAAATATCCAAGGGGCATCCAAATTATCTATATCCAGCCAATGTAGGTAAAATTGATTATCTCTTGCTCATCATGAAATATAAATATTAGTAGAACATTATTAGATTTGGTTCTCTCCATAATGTAGCAGTTTAGCCGACACTTTTCTTCATGCATGAGAAATCCAACACCCTGTACCCTTGTTAGACACTGACACGCTTAACAGTGTCCTTCACATAGGGGATATTAAGGTGTATGAAGTTGAGGTTCAAGATGCATACCCTTCTCTATGTTTATGTTTAGGATTTAAGTAAAGGAATACTCATCTCTCTCTCCTCACCTTTTTGTACAGGAGCCTCTCTATAAGCTGCTATTTTTGGAAATTATAGACTAGTAATCTTTCGTGATGAGCTCTGAGAAACCATATTTTGTTGTGTGTATAGAGCTCCTGACCTGTGGGCAGCCTTTATTTGTTTGAGAAGGAAAAAAAAGAAGAAAACTTATTATTAGAGTAAATAACAGTTAACGTTATGATATACCTAGGATTTTTTTTGGAAAAAGTATCAGACAGATCATGAAAACAAGCTAGACAAGTCAGATTCCAGATGTCCACATATCTAAAGAATCCTCTTCAGGATTCTTCGGAATGCAGAACTCAGCCATGTTTATGTTGTATCTGTACCAGTACCTAGCGAAATCGGACATAAGCATGTAGCCCAGATGAACATTGAATGCAACATAGCTTCTCAGGGATACCATGTGTCGGAAGCATCTAGACCGCCCAGGAGTATGGATGGTCCAGGTCAAAATGCTGGTACTAGAACCTGCCTTTAAGCAGTCGGTGGGTCCGAACAACTTGAATGAAATGTCCAAATGCTTTACACACATACAGAGCAATTGGTGCATGGCACACAAGCCTTTTTCTAGAAGTAAAATGATTGATCTGATTAGAATATTTGCACAATTGGGCCAATGGATGCACATATGATCTATTGACAAGATTAACTTACACACAGGGCCTCTTATGGTGCCTTCCCACAAAAATGGGAACAGAGTTCCGAAAAATTTGTACAGAAAATGGAACTTATCCATGACAGGGAATTTCCATAAAAAGCCATTTTTCTTTGTCATAGAAAGGGTCATGGATAAATCTGCTTTATTCGGAACATTGGCGCACAAGGGCAAACAGGCCCTAGGTATATACAAATAAATTGGCAGTGGAAAATATTAAATACCATTATCTGTGGAAGATACACATGCTGACGATGGAAATACTAATGACCACCATATCAAGTAACAGCTTTCAACTCAAAACATGAGACTACATAGGGAAAGATTGCTAAAGAACAAGTGTCACAGAGAGGCGTTGATCATGAACAAAAGAATGAAGTAACACCATCACGAGAAGCCGAAATTGACCATATGTGCTATATTTCAACAATGGTACAGTTGATTCATTTTTCAAATTAACTTGAATAGTTGATTGCTTGTGCTAAATCCAGAAACTTATTACATAGTTTACATATTCATGTCTATAGTCACATATAATGGCTCTAAACGAGGCAAATATATCCTAGAGATACTGACCAAGAAGCTGACGTCTAACCAGAAGTTACCAAAACCTCACAAGAACCAATCAAAACAAGATGAGGGAGAAATTTTAGATATACATAATTCAACAGATGCCACAGTTTCTTTAAGAAAGGTAGCTTAGGAATACCAGAAAGCCACAAAGAATTTCATTAGAGCTTAAATTTACTTCTAAAAGAATGCAATCTATGTTACCTAGACACAGATATGGAGAAATGTGTCCAACAAGTATTTGACGCCTCAAACACGACAACCTAAAATCAAGACATGGGATACGTCTGGACAACTATATACGTAAAATTATATTTGTATATAAATACATGAAAATTCTAAAGCCATAAGTAATCAATATAGTTGTTGAGATCTAGAGAGGGATCGAGTGCGGGAACAGGAATAGGATGGGGTATTGTGAAAGGCTAGAAGATCCCTCTAGTGGGAGTGTTGTCCAGACAATGCATGTGCTAGACATCGAGATCCCAAAATATTAGGCATCTTGATCCCAACCTTTTGGGGATCTCGATCACAACCTTAGAGAGTGTATATGGTCAAGAACCATGTACGCTCTTTAAAGTAGGGATATCTTTATTCATTGCCAACAAGCAATGCAACTATATCAAAAGTATAATTGCATGGCTAGCTGGCTACAATTAAAGAAAATCAATCAGTTTAGTCGTTATCTTGGTCATTAAGGAGGAGCTCAGGATTTGTAACGGTGGGGATCATCATCATCATCAAAGCCTTTTCCCAACTAAATGGAGTTGGCTACATGAATCCTAGTTTGCCATTCTGGTCTATTAAAGATCATGCTCTCAGTGAGGCCATAAGTCCCCATATCTTTTCTTGCTACTTCCAACCATGTTCTTTTGAGCCTACCCCTTGCTTTTTTTTAGCCTTCCACTTTAACTAACTTGCACCTCCTAACAGGTGTTGTACTTGGTTTGTACGACACACGGCCAGCCCATCTAAGTCTACTTTCCCAGAGCACTAGAGTGAGAGTCCGGAGCGGGATAATCTCCTATGATTTGAAGTTTATAAAAAGCTATCAAATATACTAGCTCAAATTTGAATTTATTACAACTAAAAAGAAGAGAAGCACTCTATATGGAACAATATACATATACAAATTTTCCAAATATACATCCTAAGAAAATGAACAAAATTTGCCCTAAATCACATCAATGGTTGGTTCCTATCTTATTAAAGCAATACTATTAATTTTAAAAATTAATAGTATTATGATACATGGCTTGCTGGAAGAATTACAATCCAACACGAGCTCAAGGGATCAAATCCTATCCTTGACATTTTATTGCATTGTGTCCAATATGTCGAACAAATTTCGTGGTGTTTGACACTGCAAAATGCCAAAATGCCGCCCATGCAGACGTGCAGGGAGGCCCCAGGCATTTGGCCCTTTTCTCTTCTTTGCAGGTACCCGTCGGCCCACCCCTACCTTTGCCCCCTGGCTACCTCCCATCCAAGAAAGTCGGTCTTACCCACTCTCCGTGACCCCTCGCCTCTCCTGGGACAGGACTACCACCTCTCAGTTTTCCCCCTTGCCTCCCCCCCTCGCTGGTCACTTCCATGTGGATCCTGATCCCGTTCTCTCGCTCCCTGACCCACCTCCATTGGCCCCTGAGATGCTCCCCCCCCCCTCCCCGTATCTCTGTCCCTTTTACCTTTGCCGTCATCCTCCATTCTCCCCCTTGCGAGGAACTGCAACCCCCACACCCTTCTTCTCCTGTACTTAGGGGAGATTACGCCACTCCTGAAAGTGAGGCTAGCTCAACCAACAAGCAGGCAGATAGTCAATAAGATAAGATGATAGAGATCTTCAGGGTTATGGGTTTTCCCGTTGACGGACAAGAAGGACCCCTCCGCCACTTCTTATCGTCGGACGCTAACTATCGCATGAAGGTGTGTTCTAAAGGCCGTAGCGAGATT